ATTTAATACAAACAGCTTTCAAATGGGCAAGCTTTACTCTTAAAATTGCATAAACCAGCTTTCTCTAACAGAGAAAGAAGATTTACTGCATATGTGGGCTTGCATTCTCTTCATTTGCTTAGTTGCACTAACACAGTATTACAGGTCATAGAAGACCTAAACTTATTTTCCGGTGCATTCAAGGAATATTAAAATAAGCACTGAACTAATGTTCCTGTGCATAGAAGAGGTAAAATAGCCTGTTGAGCATAAAACTTCTAACACATTATTTGTCTTTCTGTATTGCAAATATGATTTTATTTCATTTAATAGAGAGATCTTTCATATGGGCAAGCTTTACTTTTCAAACACATATGGTATGGCTGGGTCAGTCGACAGAAATATGAGACATAATAACTGCAGAAATATTTGCGGGGCAAATCTAAGCACTCATGGTATGCATAATGCGTACAGGCGCCACTGCTAATGAACATACTTCGAACAATTTGTGCATGATTTTGTTTTTTGCTTGTCTGAAATGAGTAACTTTTAATGTAAAAATGTTTACTAAAACTCTCTAAAACACTCTCAGTTTGTGCATGCTGTTGTGCGTCGCAACAGAAGTAACATCTTAATGTGTTAACACTCACTGTATCCTTTGACAATGTTGAGCATGAGAGTTCTGTTTTATGCACAGTGTATTGACAGACAATGGCCTTTTCTCAAGCATTTTTGTCACTAATTTAATGCATTTTATCACACTATATTGCTTTAAATGCTCTAATGTGCAAAAAAACGACACATTCAAAACATTTTCTTCTTAACATGTCCACTAACCTAAAGCTAAGTGTTATCATAATACATAGCACAAGTTTTACAAAATGAAAAATATTCTTAATCACTGCATGTTGTTTAAACACACTGACGACATAGTTTTGATAACTCAAAGCAAAACACATTCTTTGTTCAAATTCAATTGCTATGTTAAACTGAACTTAACATGCAAATCCATTTTCTCATTCATTTAATCATTTAATTCAACAAATATCGAAAGCTCTGCTTTCACAAACAGCACATAAGTTATATTCACTAGCAAAACATTTTTGAATGACTTGAATGCCCACTGCCCAGTCTTAAACTGATTCAATGAACCAATGAGCACATTAAAGAAAAACAAAACAAAAAAACACACACACACACACACACACACACACACACACACACACACACAAACTCTTTTTCATTTCCCTAAAATAAAAACAACCAGTTTGAACTGGAACACTATCCCTCTCTACTCTACTCAGCATGTGTTCTGTCTAATATCTACCTAGCACTGGGTTGTCAAATAACCTAGTTTTTAGAGTGTAATATCTTACAGAGCCACCTGGTGGCTCAGTGGTTAAACACTATTTCCTCACATCAGTAAGGTCAATAAGCTAACTGAGACTTGTTGTAGCACTTGTATATCATTGCTCTTTTGTTGATTTTGATTGCTTCCATTGTCCTCATTTGTAAGTCGCTTTGGATAAAAGTTACAGACAAAGGCATGTCTGTCAAAGGCATGTAAATGACTAAATGCAATGTAATGTAATGTAAATGTTTTGAAGAAGCCTTGACTTGAATGAGTTCATTTGAATATCAGTTTTTTTCTGTTTGCTATAAATGACCGTGGATAACATAGCTCACATAAACTAGTTTCTGAAGAATAATGAGAAATGTTCGACCGCATATGACATTTTATGTTGACTGCAGATTTGCAGGATGTAAAGCATGACAAATGTGAAATGTTGAAATATTGTCTGTGCAGATTGCAAATCAGAAATATTTAAACTTGACTGTTTCCCAAAATCATAGTATTTACTGTATATCACAAACCAGCACATCCGCACCCAGTAATTTCACGATCATTCTTAATAGTAAATTTGAAAAAAAAATTCAACTCAACACTTGAAGAGAAAAACTTGCAAAAAACGTTGCAAAATTCATGAAAACACATGCAAAATGCAGTTTATCATATTAAAAGAACAGTTAGATAAAATATTTTGTATAATAATTTATGTTGTGTATATTCCATTTTTTCCCCTTTTTTATTTCATTGAAAGCTAAAAATAACATATCAGTCTTTACAGTTACATCTTCAGCTTTTTACAATTTATTTGAAGCAGAAAATCAATAAAATAAAAGGAAAAGAAAAGGAAAAGTGTGCATGCAGCTCCCAGTGAGCAAAGCAAAATTCAACAGCATGGAATAAGTTATGTAACTTATCTTGATGTGCTTCTCTCTGATTAGGTAATCTCTTCATTTGCCTCACAAAAAATGATGAGAGCAACAGCTCTGAAATCGCTAAGATTAACTGTATTTTAGAATTAAACATGGCTGTTATTTTTGCTTCTAAACAGACCAGCATGTTGCCAATTTTACTGAATCAGACATGCCTAATGAAACAAGCAAAAAACATTCTGATTTTAAAGGTAGTATGAAACCATGATTGAACATTGAACCATGAAAAGTTTAGCATGATTAAAATAAAACAAAATTAAAATATAAGACTCATGTTGATGATACATGTTGTTTCTTTCCTTTCCATAAGATCCAAGCCCTGTGCTAATCATACTGTAGATAATTTAGAGTAGATAATTCCGAACACAGTCCATTAGGGATCCTAAATAGTTTAAATGTTCTCTGATCTTTTGCACACTGACTTGGTTTTAAAGATAAGGGTTGTAAATTGAAAATAACTCTGATTAGGACATGACTCACATATGTCACTAGAGAAAATGGTATTTGTTAGTACTGGCTAACAAGTTAGTAATTAGTACTAGTACTAACTACTGGGATTCTGCTGGGTAACTACTCCACTATTGTCTAGTGAAAGCCCATAATTTGTGGCATTTGTATTGCATTTGCCTGTAACAGAATAATATTTTGTTGAACGTTTATGTCCGACATATTTTAGTGTTTTAACTGTAAGCAATAGTAAGAAAATATAATGACAGTCAATGAAGTTAAAGGCCCGTCAACACCCTTTAGCCCTTTTATTACAATTTCACTTACTTTTTACTTAACATTACATTGAACATTGTGGTACTAGTTTGGTCTTTCGCCCCAACAACACCCTTTAGCCTATGTAAGATTTCAAATGAAAGAAAATCAATCAAGGTAGTCTAAAACCTGTGGTTAATGCAATCAGTGAGTTCCATCAGTTCCATTGCTGACAGGCAAGTCTTGGGTGGTGTTTATGAAACAGCTTTTGCCTTTGGCCTGCCACACTGACTTGATGGAACTTTGGACCTGTTGCAACCCTTGTTTAACCCCCTAAGTGAACTGAATAGATCAGAGTATAAAAGATGATCTAGACGATCACTGCCAGTCTCCATTCGGAGGAAGACTCGCTGTAGTCTCAGGGCTTCTGAGCGTCTTCTGACCCAGTATGGGGAATATGAAGCTCTGCCTATTGCTGCTACTTGGCACTTATGCTATAGCCCGTGAGTGTTATGTACCTTTGCATTCTGGTGTATTAATGTTACTTCATTAATGCATTTCATGCACTAAAAATATTTTATTGATTTAGCTTCATCCTATGTATCCTATAGCCTATTTTTAGCATGTCATATTCTGTAAAGGCTATTAAGTTGTGTCAAAGGTTAAATTCATCTAAAATTAGATTTGTTTAAAATGTAATCTTTGATTTACCTTTCAATATGCATTTTTAGTTTTGTTTACATATTTTTCCTAACCATACTTGCATAATGACTTTCTCACTAGAGCAAGAAACTGAATCAAATTCTCATCCAGAATGTCACTGTAAGTATTTTTTTTGTTTGTTTATTTTTTTATTTCTTATCTTTTGATTAATTGTTATTTGTATTCGAGGTGTTTAGGACTCATACATGTTAAAGCATCAATTTAACTTATCTTTTACCTGTTCAACTCACTGTACCTATTGGTGTTGTCACTTACTTTTAACCCTCAATAAATGGCATCATCATTCTAAAGTGGCTATTTACTTTTTATCTACAACAGACAGTGCTTGAGTCAGGATGTCAGAGTCCAGATTTCTTATTGCTTATCTTGATTAGCTAAAACAATATAATGTAATGAAATTTAAACAAAGTAATATTAATGTTATAATGTTATATATATATATATACATATATAAATATGCAAAAACATGTTTTAATTATTTTATTTGTCTTGTTTTCCTGAAATAATATCTAAACTAATAATATGTAAACAAAATAAGGATATTTTGGTCAACTTACCTGAAAAATTTACCTTTAAGAAAATGAGTGGGAAAATCTACCAGTGCCATTAGACAAAACGTGTATTCAGAACATATATATATATATACGGGATATATTCTATATGTCTATATATGGTATGTCCTACATTTCTGTTGAAATATTATTTATTGGACAACACAAAATTCACTGCAAAATAAATGTACTAAGAAAACGTTTTTTTTTTCTTTAAAAAAATTTGAATTGACCTAGTGTTTATTTTATTTACAGTATCTAAAAGATTTAAGATCTACAAAAAATATACATATCGGTATGAAGCTGAGATCCGGAATATGGTTACTGGGACCTCCCCTCTCATGAATGGTCCTAAAATCTCCTGCAAGGTACATTTGAAAAATCTTGTAACAATTCAGTTTCTCAATATGCCTTTCCTGTTGTTTTGCTCAGTCATTAACACCCTTCTTTCCATAGGTCGAAATTGATGTGCCTGTGGGATGTAGCTTTCGTGAGTGTTCCCAGTTTCACTGTTATATCTCAAATAGGTTTGAAAACTTTGGATTTGATTTGTCTGGATAAAGATGATAGAACTGTTGGGAATATGCTGACCATGTTTTTCTTTGTTGTGACTATGTAGCCGTTCACTCACATATCATCCCGCTCTCCAAAATACAGGTTCTACTCACCCCAAACACTTGGCTCTAGAGGCAATGGAGGGTAAAGCCCCAGCCCAGACCTCTGAGGTTCTGCTGTTCATCTTCAGGGAGCTGAAATCCATGAACAAAAAAACAGATCGGCAGCTAAGGGCCAGCACTTTCCAGAGTTTGGTGTCTGAACTCCGTGAACTCAAGCATGAGGTTCTATAGCAGAACATCATTCAGATGGTGAAGGAGGACAAGTTTTTGACCTGGCAGGCCCCTAATTCAGTGTGGCACCCCAGAGTGTGGCAGCGCCATGTTCAGTATTCTGAAGACCTTTGACGCTGATGCCATTGAGGTAGATGCTACTGTCTATGCTCTAGGAATGATGCTCAGACCTACTGGCCTCTTGGTGAAAGACATACTGGAGATTGCGCAGACCAAGAAGAGCAAGCCAATAATGTATGCTCTCAGCAATGTTGTAAGGAGGTACGCAAATTCTTTTCTATTTCTAGACTGCTTAATTCCTTTCAATTCCCCTCTGAAAAGACCAGCATAGAATAGCTTGAATTTTCTAACTCATCTAAGCTGGTTCATATTAATTAAGTGCTGCCAGCATCACCATGCTGTCAGATGCAAAACATGGTTGGTGAAGACTGTGATTTGTATGGTCTTTCTAGTGAAGCTGGTCCATCAAAGTAATCGAGCGTTGTAAGATATCAGCACACTGAAATCCAAAGCACAACATATGCTGGTGATCAGCTATGCTAGCTTTCTTTAGCTAAAGTATTTGTCGGTATATTTCCACTGTAGCTGAGTGTTAATAATATATCTCTTCAGGCACTTCCAAGCTGAGGGTCAGCTCACCTCTGAGATTCTTGAGGTGTCTAACTTCATTACCTCCATTCTTGGTGCTGACTGTGCTGGCGAGAAAGATCTGACTTACTTGACCTTAAGGGTGTGTGTTTTAACCTATATTTTTTGATATTTTCACACTGGGAAAACAACTTATTTTATAATAATCTGCCCTGGTTAGGTGATTGGAAACATGGGCGAGGCTATGGAAGCAGCTGATCCCAACATAAAGACCACTCTGCTTAAGTATATGAGACAGCCTGCCACCACCCTGTCAGTCCAGATGTCTGCCATTCAGACTTTCAGACGAATGTCTGTGAATGCTGATGTAAGTGTTGCAATTTTTGTTGAACAATTTGTATTGCTTCAGAATCAAATGTTTGTCTTATGTATGGAATTATCCTACTAAGAAAACTAATTTTACACTCCAATCTCTCTTTTATTGAAATGTTCAGGTCCGTTCCAACATTCAGAGAGTGGCCCTATATGCCAAAGGTGCTGTTCAAAAGAGACTTGCTGCATATCTTATCTTGATGAAAAAGCCAGAGGCAAGTGACCTGGAGGTTGTGAGGAAGATCCTTACCCAGGACCAGAATGTGCAAGTCAAGTCTTTTGTGGCTTCTCATGTCTACAACATTATTAATTCCAGGGATCCTGAAATGAAAGAGTATGTTATTCAGTTTGTCAGTTTTCTCTAGTTTGCAAAACACATCAAATGCTGTCTACCATTTATTTAGCTCTTTATCTAATATAACACTATAAATACTATAACTTTTTTCTTCCAAGGTTGGGCAAAACAATAGTCAAGGTCATGCAGGATGATGAGGTGCTTACCCACTCAAACTACACTCAGCTCTCTCGTAACTATAAGATGGATGTATTTATGCCAGGCAAGGATGTCATGGGCTCCGATATGCAAGGAAGCATCATTTTTGATCCCAGCAGTCAGTTGCCCAGAGAGGTTATGCTTGAGACAACCCTGAAAGCCTTCGGTTACAACCTTGACTTCATTGAGGTAGGAATCTTAATGGGTTGTGTACTTGTATTTAATTGGTTGTAAAACTCAATTGTTATATTATTCAATTATTACTTATTGCTTGTACATACCCTTGAATTTTATGGACTTGTTGCATTTGATTTGACTACGACTTTTAGAATTTATTTATTTGTTTATTTATTTTGTGGTCACCAAGTTTGGCATGGAGGGCAAAGGATTTGAGCCAACTGTTGAGACTCTCTTTGGAAGCAATGGCTTCTTCCCTGATTCTACTTCCAAGGCAATGTACTGGGTTGGGGACAAAATACCAAACAAAATCAACGAAGTTCTGCAAGAATGGGTTGAACCCCTGAGAACAGAAAAAACTAAAAGACAGGTACTGATATCCATTGCTTATTCCAAACATCACAATGTGATTATTGAAAGGATTAAATTTTTCATGCATGTATCCAAGGTTAGATAATATCAGAATCTTCTCTTTGACAGGTCCCTGAGAATATTATTAGGGAAATGGTGCGGAACTTCAACAAGCTTGCAAAGGATATATACAACCAGGACTCCCCAGAGACTATTGCTTACTTAAGGATAATGGGGAATGAGTTGGGATACATCAAGAGCACCAATGACCTGTCAGCTATTGTTGACAGGATGGCCACATATATTCAGGCCTTCAAGTACTTACCTGCTTGGGTATGTATACACAATATGCTACATTTTACATAAAACATATCTATATTAGCTCTATCATAAATCAGACAGCACTGGGTTAATTTATACAGTATTTTTTTGCAAAAACAGTATCTGTTTTTGCTAGCTCAAGATTTTCTATCTGACAGGGAAAGTTGTTTTTGAGGCACTATAAATGCAAAATTCTACATATTCCTGTTTCAATAGATTACAAAGGCCTTGATGTCTGGAGATCAGAGCATCTTTGCTCACTACATCTTTATGGATAATGAGTTCTCCCTTCCAACTGCCTCTGGACTTCCCCTTAAGTTTGCTTTGTCTGGGACCTTTGCACCTGGTGTTGAGGGTGGTCTGCGTATGGAACCTGGCAGGGTATTAAATATTGCCCTTGATTGCGTTTTGTTCAGTATCCAGATTATTTACTAAAAAAGGATAACAAATTATTTTCCATTTCATCTTTTTATTGTCATGTTTATTACTAATGTATCCCTATTTCTTTTCACAGGGTGAACTGTCTTTTTCACCCTCCATGGCAGTAGAATTTGTTACCTGTATGGGAGTCCACATCCCCAAATTTGTTGTCTCTGCTGTGGAAATGCACACTAATATGTTCCATGAGAGCTCTTTCAGTGCCAAGATCACTACGGGCGATGGCCAAATAAAGCTGTCAATCCTGCCACCCAAGAACACTATTGAACTCTTCAGAGTCAGGTTACTTTTGTGCTATATGTTTCATGGTTTATTTTAAATGTATGCTCTTTATACTTTTAAAGAAAATGTACAGAAAGAAATTTGGTCCAATCAGCTGTTTAATAGAAACATAATGGGAATCCTTTCGTCATTTTTCACAAACAGCAACAAGTTAGTAATGGTGTCCAAAACTCCGGTCACACTCGTTCCTGAGACGGGCGACAGAACTGCCATAATGAACTGCAGCCCCCTTATTTCTGGAATCAATTACTGCACCACCATACTCAACTCTAAAGCTGAGAGAAATCCTCCATACTTTCCTCTCAATGGAGAGTCCAGGTAAGAATCAAACTTTAAAAAACACACTAAATATATTTTTTTCTATGTGTTGTACTTAAATTATTATGTGCCCACAGTTTTGTTTTGGGTATCCAACCCACTGGTGACATCACTGAGTACACTGCAGCCTTTGCCTATGAACTCTTGAACGAGGGCAAGGAAGGCCGCCATAATGTTGATTTTCTGAAAATGATTTTGAAAGCAGAAGGCACGTATACTTAACAACAGCGAATTTGAAATTTTGACCACTCTGTTATAATATAACAACATTCCTATAGTGTTTGATGCTGTGGGTTTTAGGGATCACATTTTTCCTCTTTTCTTACCATAAGGTACTAAGGCCACAGAGGCAACTGGCACTATTAAATACAACAGGAACAAGAATATTCTAATGACCAGCATTGAAATTCCTGACTATTGAGGCCGGAATCAAAGTTGGTGTCACTGACAGCCTTGCTAAAGGAAAGAAGATCACCATTGATATCTCCAACAAAAACATTAACCAGTTTTCTCTCATTGGTCGTGCAAAGTATGTAGAGATGTAAATTACCTTTTGAAACACTTGCCAATGGGCAAGTTCCTTCATCTAAAATACATGTTTCTGCTTATAACAGGCTAGAGGCCATGAAAGATGGCTTGCTGGAAACTCAGTTGATTATGCCCTCACTTAACACTGAGGCCACTCTTACTGCTACCATGAACTGTGATGAATATTTGACTCTGGAACTCAAGAGTAACATCAAGCTCCCAGAGACCAACTCTGTGCAGAAGATTACCTTACAATATTGTATTGGATACATTTCCTGTTACTGCTTTCACACTTTTTATTTTAAAATCTTTATTTAAGTCAGTCTTAAATAACTAAATAATTATTTTGGGTCTTATGTCAAAAATAACAAGTGATAATTTGCTTTTAAAACAGCTAAAGATGAGATGAAGATTGAGATGAAGTCTGACATAGACTCGGAGATCCAGAAGCTGATGCCCAATGCAGCACCTCTTCAGAGTCACCTATATCAGGCCTTTGATAACATCATGGACAATAAAGTTGTAAAGACTGACATGAAACTCCGTCACATTTACGCAAAACTCTGGGAGGTATGACTGGTATAAAATTGACAACAGTTTTTATTATAGACATGAAAAATATTTGGACCATAACCAATATGTTTATTGATATGATAGGCTTACCTCATTTGGATGGGCAAGATTGCTTCTGATGTGCCCTACCTTCAGACACTAAGAGAGAGCATTCCAGAAGTGGTTATTCCATCTTTGCCTGAGAGGGTGTTCATGAACACGTGAGATTAATGCTAATGTTTTAAATCCAACTACAAATGTGCTTATCCATTCAACTTCAAATAAATGTTATTCTGTTTGCAGAGAGAGCATTTTCAAATACAAGTTCAACAAAGATCATGTCAGCTTCACCGTTCATTTGCCTCTTGGTGGAAAAACATCTGAGGACCTGAGAATCCCTCCCACCGTGGCCACCCCAGAACTAGTCATGCCACAAATTAGTGTAATGCTACCCTCTAAAAGGTTCAATCTACCAACCTTTTCCATTCCTTCTAGCTATGACCTCTCAATGCCTCTTCTAGGAATGGTAGAGGTATCAGCAAAAGTGAACACTAACTTTTATGATATAGAGGCATTTTTTTCTGGTGGCAACAACACTGTCAATGAGCCCAGCTACATTACAAGCTACAAAGTTGTTGCAAACAGTCCTGTGGAACTTCTTGCTTTTACTGTGGAAGGTAAACATATGCATATATGCAGTATACATGAGACATGATTTTTAATTGATATGGGTCTTTGGGTGGGATTTTTTTTTTGTAATTTCTAGAATTAATGACCATATTTGTTACATGCAGGATCTGCACAAATTGCTGACATTACAGAGGACATTGCGAAGTTCGACATCATTTCTTCCCTGAAACATAAGCTCATAGATGCACGCTTCAGTCTAATGGAAACAGCCAAATTCACAGATGAAGTGAAAGCAACAGGAAATTACAAGATTGAGGCCTTCAGCCCTCTGGGTATGCAGATGTCACTGGTATACACAACCCAGGCATCAGTTTCTTCTGAAATCAGAGGGGATGGCAGTTTAGATGGATCACTAAAAGTAGGATCAATATCTGCTAGAACTACTGGCACACAAGCCTTTTTACTTCAACCCAAATCTAGAGAGGCAAGAGCTGAATCCACTTTCAGTTTAAGCTGTCCAAATTTCCAAATACTAAACAAGATGAAAGCTACAGCAGCCAGTGGAGAACTTTCATTTGAGTTGAACACTGACATAGAGAATGACCCAGTCCACCACACCACCAAGTTCAACATTGCACTCAAGGAAGCTAAGTTTACCATTAAGTCTGATTCTGTCACCAGAGCTTATGAGACCAAGCTTCAAAACCAGGTAGATTTCTCTGCAACTATGAAGGAGGTCACTATCAGGATTGAGTCCCAGGCTGATGACAACACAAATCGAGCTTTCTCCCAGCTTACTGGGTCCCTAAGCACCCAGGGACTGGAGCTCAATAGTGATGCTACGATCAACTTCGCTGTCAACCATGCCTCTAGCAAAGGCACGCTGTCATTCACCAAAGATGGCCTGACCACTAGCTGTACCACCAGTGCTCAGATCAGATCTGTGACCTTTGAAAACATTTTCCATGGTGTAATTACAACTACAGGTGCTACAGTGGCTGTCTCCAGCAAAGGAACAGTCAATGAGAACAGCGCTGAACTCAAAGTTGAAGGAAGACTTGCAAGTTCAGAAGTATATCTAAACAGCATGTACAAGGGTGACATTTTCAATGCCAACACCAGAAACATGATCACTCTCAAGCTGAATGAAGAAGGTCTAAACCTCTCCAACAACTTGATTGCATCACTTCAAGAGATTAAAATAGAAAACACAGACTCACTGATAGTTACCCTTAAATCTTTGGCCATGCATTCTAAATCCAACAGCTTCCTGAATGAGAACAACTTCTACAAGCACAACGTTGCAGTGGACATACATGAATTTACAGCATCTTTCCAGGCTGAAAATGGTCTTAAAGTAATTGGTATCCTCTTTAGCAATGAAGTCCAGATGAAGGCAGAGCCCTACAAGATGGAAGTTACTGGAACTCTGAAGGGGATATTTGGTGAAAAGGGACTCAGACATACATATGAGATCACGTATGTTGACCAGACAGCCACTGCAAAGTGCAGCACCAATGGAAAACTCTTGGGCAGTCAAATGACTCAAAGCTCAGAGTTTGAGATCATTGGGTTTTCCACAAAGTTCAGCAATGAGGTGCACTTCAACTCTCCCTCTCTCCAACTGGAAATTAACATCCTAACTAAAACAGAACCTTTCAGTGTGAATGTTGAGAGCTCCTTCAACTCTGATGGAGCACTTAACCTGTATGGAAAACACAGTGGCCAGGTGAAAAGCATGTTGCTTCTTCAAGCTGAACCTAAGTCTTACTCATACAAGCATGAATGGAAGGCCTCAACTTCCCACCAGCTGAACAATGGAAACTCCATTAAAACTAACTTCCAGCATAAAATAACCAGCGCTATCACCCCTCAGCAGCAAAAGTTTAACTTCAATATGGAGTCTATGCTGAATGACCATGCCTTTGACCATTCCCTGGAAATCTTCAACACTCCAAATAACATGGGTATTGCACTGAAAGGCACCATGTCCACCAACGTCTTGAATAAAGCCAATGACAATCAAGAATTTGGCATCACAAGTGCTCTGAAATATGAGAAGAACAGTGAAAGTCATTTTATTTACCTACCTTTCATTGATAAGCTGCCTTTTCTCATAGAAGAGGTCAAAATTGCTATGCTCACCATGAAAGATCGCAGCATTGACCTGTTTGATGTCATTGATACTAAACATGACATTACAGACACTTTTAAAAGCAAAGGAAATGAACTTTCACAGCTAATTGTAAATTTTGATGTGGACATGTTCTTGGATGATGTGAGACTTTTTGCCTCTGATATGAAAGCTGTAGTAATGGAAATGGGCAAAAACATGCAACCCATCAGGGACTTGATTGACAGTTTGGGCCAAAAAACTGGCATTATCACCAAGATAAATGAAATTCTCAACAAACTTGATGAGGTTTTGGCAGAATATGAGATTGAGGCAATGGTTGAGAAAATCATCGATGATGCTGTGGATTTAATGAAACAATATGAACTAAGGGAAACTATGCAATCAGCTGCAAGTTACCTAAACTATTTTGACATGAAATCAGTATTTGATAGAATCTTTGAACAAATGAATGAGCTGACAAAACTACTAAATAGCAAAGTCAATGAAATGATGGCTTATGATTTTGACACCTTGGCTGATGAAGTAAAGCAGATGGTCACTGTCCTCATTAGGGTCCCCTGCTTTGGAATTCTGCATGGTGAGATTGAAATCAAATCCTCGGAGCACACTCTGAAGACCAGTGCTGAACTTAATAACTCAACAGACAAATTCACTGCTAACCTGAATTCTCAGTTCCAGACACCTATTGATCTCTTGGCGTACACCTTTGATGCCACTGCTCACCTTAGCATCACCAGAATGAAAGAGCTGTCTTTGACTGAGACAGTGAAAGCAAATCACATGGCTTTCTCTCTTGATCACGAGGGATTCATGTCCATCAATGGCCCTATTGCCCAGGTATCTTCCAAGACCACAGCTAAGGCAACGACAGAACCATACAGGGCTGACTTAGTGAACAATGCATTTCTGAGCACAGAACATGGCTTCTCAGGTACTTTGGAGACCTCTTACATCCACAGTGTGAACATGCCAGTGGCCAACATCTTCAGTGAAGCCACAATGACCCAAAAAGCTGCTGCTCAGCTGGAATCTGGCATAATCATCCTCACCGTTGGAAATAATGGCAAAGGAAAATTGTCTGTCTTTGATTATTCTGATGAAGGAACCCATAAGAGTAACTTGGAGATTCTGATAAACGTGGAGTCCATAAAATTGACTTTTGATGGTAACACTGACAGCAGTCTTCTCAAGATGAAGCAAAAAGTTGATGTTGAGACTAGAGGTTTGACTCAGATCAAGTTTAATGTGCATGCAGAGACAGAAACTCGTTTTATCAAGAGAAGCATTGCAGCAGTGAAAGGGCAGATTCGTTTGATGGAACCCATGGTTGAGCTGAGTGGGTCTCATGACGCTGAACTGATTGGCAAAGTTGAAGGCACCATTACCAACTCAGTTAACTTCAAGGCTGTGCCTTTTGAAATGATCTTTGACACCAAGAACAAGAAAAACACTAAAGTAATGCTTCCATTTAGGTTGTCCAGTAAAGTTGATTTGCAGAATGATATGGCTTTAACTCTGAATCCCTCTGTGCAGCAGGCCAGCTGGACTAGTCTTGCTAGGTTAAATCAATATAAGTATTCTCATTTCATTAGTATGGCTAATGGTGAGAAGGAAATTCAGTTCTCTGCATCAGTCAATGGTGAGGCTGACTTTAATGTGCTGACCTTGCCGATTAACATTCCTAAATTGACTGTCCCATTCATTAACAATGAACTGTGTGTAGAGAAATTTTCTTTATGGGAGGACACAGGCCTTAAAAAAATCTTGATCACACCTCAGCAGACCTTTGATATGGATGCAAAGTTTAAGTATGTGAAGAACCCTGAGATGTTCAACATGCAACCAGTCCTCAATTCTATTATTAGGAAAATTAAAATACCCATTTTTGCAACTGGCAAAACCACATCTGATACATATGATTGTCCTTATTTTGCTAAGATCACTCTTCCCAATATTAAGAAATCAATTATGATCCCTGTCATAGGATACCTGACCTATGACTTCTCTGTGAAAGCAGCTATGATCATTATTAATACCAAGGCTGAGATCCTTAATCAGGATGAAATTGCTGCCCAGTTTGAAACTCAGGTTAGCTCTGAGTTTGGTGTACTCAATGGCAAAACCAGTGGCTCTGCCACCTTCAACATGAATTCAGGGATGAAACTGTTTACCAATCTAATTGTGGAGCATAAATATTTTGAGAACAACTATAATGGAGTTCTTGAGACCAACACAGAAGTCTCAAAGGCTGTTATTTCAAATATTGCCAAAGTAAATCTTCCAGATGTGAAATTTATGCTTTACCACAATTTAACTGGAAATACAGAAGGTCTTACTGTTTCTGTATCATCCCCATCTGCTGGACTCCTTGGTCTTCAGCTGCAGCGCAAGAGCTTATCCCACCACACAGGAAAACTTTTTGGTGCAAACCCAGTAAGAATTAAAAAATATATAACAATTTATTTATTACACATTTAGTGTATCTTACAAATCAATTAATATATTAATACTTTGAACGTTCAGTATACAAGTAGACATGACAGTGACATTATCTATTTTTTATTACAGTCTGAGGATTACATGGACATTCTAAAGGTTGACATTGCAATAAAGGACCCAAACAGACTGAGTTTCCAGACACAGTGGAACAAGGAGCTCCCTGGTCAAATTCTTTTGTGGCTGAAGAAGAAAGTTGCTTCATTAAAGGATTTGAAAGACACAGTAACATATTTCATCAGTGCACTTTACAATGACATCAGCAATAAGTACGAGAAGCTAGAAAGTACCATTGATCACTGTCTGAAGGAACTGCCTGAAATCTTGAAATTAAGTGTGAAGAAAGCAGAGGAGCTCATTAGCTCTATCAAATTTCAAGATCTGGGCAAGCTCTCATCCTGGATCAGTAAAGTTTTCTCTGATGCTGTCAACTCCAACATCCTGAATGAAATAGCTGAGCAGGCTGAGAAGACCAGGAGAATTATTGAAGGCTATTATAAAACTGTCAAAGCCAAGGCCCAGGACATTTTTGCTGAGATGACCCTTGCGCAACTGATTGAAGACACCCAGGCTTGGATTGAATCTACTATGACCCATCTGGAAGTTCTTATGAACCAAATTATTGAGACCCTCAAGGATGCCAAGAATATTCAGTCCTATGTGAGACTGAATGGCACAGAATTGAATATTGACATTCCTATTCCATTCATAAGGAATTTCTTCAGTAGAATGATTTCACATCCTTGTACCAAGACGCTAAGTAGCTAAACTTTGCCAAGAGAAATTATGAAGATTGTTATTGTTATGCCCACAAAATATTTGCCCAAGCTGCTGTGGTTCCTTCTTTTTGTTTTGTAAGTAACTAATTTAGAATAGTGTTCTTTAAAGAAAATAGCTGAATGTTACGATCTATCTTATTATTGTATTTAATAAGCAATGACAGTAAAGTACCAATAAAAAAACTTTTTTACTGCATAAGGGGCTATTTGTTGTATATAACCAGCTATATATCTCTACTTATACTTTAGACACTTGCATCATATATATATATATATATATATATATATATATATATTATATAGAAATGCACGCATCATCTATAGCCTGGAGAAGAGAGACTTGGGTGCCTATCGTAAACCTTCCACCTCCATGTGGAGAACAATTCTTCAGTCAGGTTACAGTAAAGAAAGGGAAGAATTGGGATAAATACAATTTGATAAACTGTGGATGGGCCTGAAACCATGATTGCTCTCAGTGCTGTCGCTACACTGTAAAATCCAATTAGTTGGACTAACTTAAGAAAAACATGCAAACCGATTGCCTTGAAAAAACGATGTAAAGTGAAATAAGAATAGTATGTTGTACTGACAAATGCTTAGTTAGTATAGTTTACTTACACGAGAGTTCTAGTAACTAAAAATGAACTGTAGGGGGTACTTGATCCTTTCATTTAGGTTTACTCATGACTTATAGCTACTCACTGACTCCCAAAGTGCATTGCGACATGAATAAATTATGCAGTTGCTTTGTTTTTTTGTTGATTTTATTTGCCAATTTTATTTACTGTCTTGTGTCAGTAGTAGCACAACAAAAAGAGCAAATAAAATGATTATTGTTATAATTAATGAAAATAAATGAAATTGAATTGTTACCATTGTTGTGATTCACGTTCTGAATGTTTAAATCTGTGTGTGACTTCAACATATTACCACACATGATTTAAGAATTATCTAAGTCCAAGTTAGAGTGTCAGGGTATTTATGTAAAATTATATTTAAATCCAAGAAAGGTAAACTATTTGATTTTACAGTGTAGAATTTCTGGGCCCACTGCACTGATATTGCTATATGGCTCTCCTCAAGGTCGTGTTCAGTGGGGGGTGGTCAGGCCCCCCAGCACACATCGTTCTGGGCCGCTCTCAACCGCTAGGTTCTCAACCTCTCCTCCATTTCATGGCCAGGTTAAAGCCTGCCTTATCCAAAAATATGAATGGTTTTCATCAGCTTCCAGCTCTATCATCCTCCAAAAATACATTTATTTAGGAAAAACAAATACTGATAACAATCAATAGAATTTTGGGGGATTTTTTTTCTTCCAACAACATGCATCTTGAAACTGATCATACCTGTACATACTCATTTAATATTGTTCATCATTTTCCATAAAAACTATGCTTCAAGAGTAATGCAACAGTTATGTAGCATTTTTGAGCAGATGTAATAATTGATAGTTAGATCATTGTAATGAAATAAATAGACATTCAATTCAGTTGCATTTTGAAATAGTAATACTTTGATTTTAAGTTGAGTCATTTTGAACGGGTGATTTTAGTTTAAGGAACAAAAGTTATTTGGTTCATGTGTATTGTATCCAAGCATTTGAAAAAAGTGTTGCGTTTTGAAAAATTTGCATTTTGATCATCGGTTGTGAATTATGTGTCTAGAGCTTTGAACAATAACATGAAGGCTCTGTTATTAGTGCAAAAATGTTTGTAAAAAAACTGTAATTGGTCAGGTGATGACGAAAAAGATGTCTTTAGATGTTTTTTGAAAATGGCTAAAAACTCAGCTGCTCGGATTCAGATAGGCAGGTTGTTCCACCAGCTGGGAACAGTCCAGGTAAAGGTCAGTGAGAGTGATTTTGTGCCTCTTTGGGATGGCACCACAAGGCGTCGTTCACTTGCAGAACACAAGCTTCTGGAGGGTGTGTAGGTCTGAACCTTAGTATATTGGTGCATCGCCAGTGGTTGTCTTGTAGGCAAGCCTTGAATTGTACCTTGAATTTGATGCGAGCAGCTATTGGCAGCCAGTACAAGCTGATGAAGAGAGCTATGACGTGAGCTTTCTTTGGCTCATTGAAGACCACTCTGACTGCTGCATTCTGGATCAGTTGCAGAGCCTTGATAGTACATGCAGGAAGGCCTGCCAAGAGAGCATTACAATAGTCCAGTCTGGAAAGAACAAGAGAGTGGACAAGGAGTTGTTTGGTCTGCTCTGTTAGGAAGGGTCTAATCTTCCTTATGTTGTATAAGGCAAACCTGCAGGACCAGGCAGTATGGTCTGTGAAGCTTAACTGATCATCCATCACAACTCCAAGGTTCCTGGCGGTCCTGGAAGGAGTTATGGTTGACGAACCTTGCTGTGTAGAGAGGCTGTGATGAGGTGCTGGGTTGATCATGAGCAGTTCTGTCTTAGCAAGGTTGAGTTGAAGGTGATGATCCTTCATCCAGCCAGAAATGTCTGTCAGACAGGCTGCAATAGCTACTGTCGGATCATCTGGTTGGAATGAGAAGTAGAGTTGAGTGTCATCAGCATAGCGATGATAGGAAAAACCATGCTTCTGAAGATGACATGTAGATGGAGAAAAGAAGTGGTCCAAACACTGAGCCTTTCTCAAGGCCCAGTAGCAAGAAGTTGTGACTTAGAAATCTCACCCCTCCAAAACACCCTGAAGGACCTACCAGAGAGGTAAGACTTGAACCACTGGAGTGCGGTTCCCTGCTGCAGCACCCCCTGTTTTTTTTTCTGTGGGCAACTGTTTAACTGTTGGGAATAAAAAAAAATCGGAGTGTCTATTTACACTAAGTGCAAATAGCCCGCCTTGTTGGCAGAGGCTACTTACACTAACTCCACCCACCAACGTGGGATTGGGCTAGTCAACATTACAAAAGACGGTCATCAATTGCCAGATTCAGTGGTGTAGATGGTAAAGCATTTGTCATAGTCTACTCCATTTGACGCGATCGACCTGGGTTCGAATCTGCCTTTTGGCAAACTTTTTTTCTCCCTTTACAAATTTCAAATCACATCAGAAAAGCATTTTTTTTTAAATAAAAATGAAGGAAATAATCAAAAAGTTGAAAATAAAGTATCGGGTAGGGTTAGGGAGGGCTTTTGTGACATCCATTTAATAATTTTAATTATAATTAAAATTTACACAATAAGTTATTGCATACTGTTTTATAATGCATTACAAAGCTGAGGTGCAGATAATTGCCACTATTTGCAATAAGTAATTAGCAGAATATCCTGCTATTTTAACATAGTATAAATAGAATAGCTATTTTCACTCAGTGTAAATAGCATCTATTGCTATTTGGACTAAGTTTATATAGCCTCTATCGCCCCCCCGCCCACGCGCGTACAGCACCCCCAACCTAAAACATCTTTCCACGTCCCTGGGTTCCTGAGATGCCCATCTTCATTAGGGTCGACAGGAGGATCTGGTGGTTAACTGTGTCAAAAGCAGCAGACAGATCCAGCAAGATGAGTACTGAGGATTTGGAAGCTGCTCTTGCCCGTCTCAGGGCTTCAGTAACCGAGAGCAGTGCAGTCTCAGTTGAGTGGCTGCTTTTGAAGCCAGATTGGTTACTGTCCATGAGGTTGATCTGTGCAAGAAACATAGAGTGTTGGCTGAACACAACTTGCTCAAGTGTCTTGCAATGAACGGAAGAAGGGCATCTGTAGTTCTCTAAAAGTGCTGGATTTAGAGAGGGTTTCTTAAGCAGTGGGATTACCCGGCCTGCTTGAATACTGTGAGAAATGTACCAGAGTGAAGAGAGGTGTTGATAATGTGAGTGAGCACGGGTATAACTGAAGAACAAATGGCCTGAAGGAGGTGAGTGGGGATAGGATCAAGGTAGTAGGATGATTGGAAAGGATAAGTTTAGAAACGTCTGCCTCCGAGAATGGAGAGAAGGAGGAGAGAGAATAAGAGAATGAGTATTTATGGTTATGAAGATTACAAACTAAATGTCCATATACAAAACAAGAACTAGGGGCAGGGACATTGTTACATAGCCTCCACCTAAGCCAAAAGCACACATACACATAAAACTAAAAGAATAAGGAAGTGTAGGGGGGTGCTGGCAATGGAGAGCACTGGGAGAGGGAAAGCAGGCCAGGATCACCACCACGATGGATGGCTGGTGGAGCTGTGACAGGTTGTGACTCCTTAATCGTGACTCGTGATAGGGAACACAAAAAACTCAGGGACACCCCTCATGGTTGTTATAGTACAAACAGGGATATTGCAGAAAACAGGGTTAACGGGATAGTTCACCCAAAACTGAAAATTCTGTCATTAATTACTCACCCTCATGTCGTTCCAAACCTGAAAGACCTTTGTTCATCTTCGGAACTCAAATTAAGATATTTTTTATGAATTCTGAGCGCTCTCTGATCTTCCCATAAACAGCAAGGATCCTAACACGATCAAGGTCCGGAAACGTAGTAAGGACATTGTTAAAATAATCCATGTGACATCAGTGATTCAACCGTATTATTACAAAGCTACGAGAATAATTTTTTGTGTGTAAAAAAAATATTTTATTCAACAGTTTGTCTCCTCAGTGTCACCCTGGCACCATTTTGGAGAGTATCACATACGTAAACAACACATGCAATGTATTTACGCGGATACTTTGTTTACGCTTTGATCTGAACGTATCCAAAGGTAACCCACAAAACTCAGATAAAAGAAACCTTTTAAATCCCAACAGAATATTAAACACTAACAGATCACTCTCGATCTCAGCATCTTCACTTATTACAAACTAGTCTGAATTCATTTCTTTCATACAAAACTTCTTATTGAGAATTAACTGAGATGTTTAGATGTTTTAGATGTTTTATTGAAATTAATAAAGTTTGTAGTCACCATTGTTGAAATGGTCACCATTGTGCAGAAGAGAAGAGCCTGTGGTCAGAATGATGATTGGCCAAATCTCATTAAATTATCTCAATAAATTAGAATGTCGTGGAAAAGTTAATTTTATTTCAATAATTCAACTCAAATTGTGAAACTCGTGTATTAAATAAATTCAATGCACACAGACTGAAGTAGTTTAAGTCGTTGGTTCTTTTAATTGTGATGATTTTGGCTCACATTTAACAAAAACCCACCAATTCACCATCTCAACAAATTAGAATATGGTGACA